TGTCATTACATTATTTTTAACAAGAAAAAATTGAACATTTTTTTCTTAAAATAAAATAGCTTATTGTTGATTCCCAAACGTATTACATACCTTCTTAATATTGCATATTTATTACTAATTACTAGTTATATTATAATTGACATCTTCGAAGAAAAATAATTTCTTTGTTTATTATGTATTTGAAAGAGTAAATTAAATCTGTTTTTCCACTCCGTCTTTCACTAATTGCAGACAAACATCAGTTATTATTTCAATTTCAATTAGAACTTTTTATTAAAAAAATATTTATAGAGGGTTAACAACCTTATCTACCCTTCTTCTCTCTCCGTCTCTCTCTTTCTTTTCATTCATCTTATCACTCTCTTTTCGCACCGATTAATATCATTTTTTAACAACTCTATCTACTCCCCCCCGCCTTCTTTCTCTCTCCCCCTCTCTCTCTCTCTCTCTCTCTCTCTCTCTCTCTCTCTCTCTCTTCATTCATCTTATCGCTCTCTTTTCGCACCGATTAATATCATTTTTTGATTATATGAAAGTATGAGAATATAAAGTTTCATTTTCCGATCCTTTTTCTTTCAATAGAAGCGACCAGGGAGTAAACAACTCCGTTTAATCCCGAGACGGGATTCTTATCGCTTCTTTTATGCATACTTTGTAGACCTCGTTAGCGCTCTCTATGCCCTACGTACTTTTTCAACTACTTACTGTTTAACGGGGCATTTTTTAATTTAGCAAGCGCATACGGAGCGTCCGCGGATGAAACACTCTACGTGGATATTAAAATTCCTTCGAGATTCTTTCCAACTTTACCGCTCTTTCTTACAGAAAAGAGCTCCGCAGAAAAGTAGTTTAACATTCTTCGACAGTAAGCAACGACTATCTATACGTGTTTATTGACTCTATATATGCATCCTTTTGCACCCTTTTTCATAAATGAATCTTATAGCAGTTATTTATGAGCAAAAATCACTTATCTATCGGCTATCCTCAAAATGTTACATTGAATAGAAATCGCATCACATGCTATAGAAAAGTTTTTAATTTTTAAATTCTATGTTGTATATGTAATATTAGATAATAATGTTTTAAATAAAATAAAATTATAAATTAAAAAAGCGGTACATTTCTAACAGAAAAATAGTTGCTTAACTGCTATATTAACAATCGATATAACAAAAATATAAATTAAAAATATAAATTAGATTTATGATCATTAGTTTTTCGATCAGTTATATAATATAAATGTGAAAAATAGATATACATATTATATTTATTTTTGTTGGTATCATGATTTAGAAATGTATAAGATTTAGAAATATAAGATCATTAGACAATTAATGAAGAAGTAAAAAAGAGTTTAATGTATGTGATGAATATATTAAATATCAAATTCGATATATATTAAGAAAATTGACTTTTAAAGATTTAGAATGATCTTAGAAAATCTTACTCCCTCAAGAAATTTAAAATAATTCGTAACAATGTTAAGTTTTTAGCTAGCATCTTTTGTCATCTTTTCAGTATTGATTTTGAAAAATTCGATTTTGAAGATACATTTAAACGAGATTTTATCAACGGATGACGTTCATTTTTGTTAGTTGAGACTTGCAGTGGAATGTCATTTTTCAACATGAATATGATATACACAAGTGCGAAACACATAGACTTTTTTATTCTGCATTTGGAATCCCAATTTTTTCTCTATTTTCTTTTTCTAACGAAAAATAGGTGAAGTAATCTTAGTAATCGACTGAATCAAAAGCTTCTCTGAATGAGAAGGAAATGGATCTGCGTAAATTCGTGTATGTACGCGTGAAAGTGAGAAGAACGTGACGGGAACAGTGGTAGCGGGAAAGTACAGGAAATCGTGCTGTTTCGATGCTATTTCCATGGAAATTGAGCACCTCGAGTGGGCCCGCTGGGCTCTCTAGTCGCTTTTCGATGTCTCGATTCACGGCGCGCTATGGAGCACGGAAAAAAGCTGGAAGAGAGCGAATTATCAGACTTCAATAGCGAATGAAAGAATAACTGAGAAATCGGTTCGTTATTTTGAGGTAAGCTAGGAAATTAAAAGATATAAACAATGTACAATGATATAAAATGCTCTTTCTTTTATTATCGGAGTGTAATAATTCGCTTTCTTTCTTAATATACATATATATTTCTAATTTATATATCTATAATTAGATGTAGAATTTTCTCTAGATATTAAATTATTTGAAATAAGTTTTAAATATTAAACAAATTAAATATAATATGAGAATAAAAAATGAAAAAAGCTGCTGTGAAAATTATAAGCTAATTTTGAATATGTTCCATTATGAATTCTTTAATTAATTCAAACTTTTTTTGAATAATAGAAAATATTACGATTTTTTTTAGATATCCTACATATGCTCGTTGTTATCTCACATTATTTCGTTCTGTTAATATACTCGACTTTTAACTTCGGTTTTCTCATTTAATTAACAAACACGCGGAGAAAAGTACTGTTGGCAGAGCATAGTTGGCATTGCCTGGGAAAAGGGAAGAAATAATAAACACAGTGACAATCAGAAAAAAACACATGACAAAAAACGAAGATACTGAAGCGTAAATTGAAACATGCAGCTGCAACCGTTTTGAAATAATTACGAACAATGCCGACGGCGTTTGTTTCAAACAAAAAGGTGTACGCAGCACGTGTATCTTTTTGTTTTTTTAAACCAAAACCGAAATATTTAGTTTTTGCGACCAATAATTTTTGTTTAATTTGCTACAGCGATACACGTAAAATATCACGCTCACTATTCCATGATATATTGATTTCAGTATTGAACTCTTTTAAAGAACGTTAAAAAAGACCTTTTAATTCTTTTACTTACTCCGTATCCATCTATATTTCCATATTTTTTAGCTGTATATTATATATATTTTTATGCATCCATTAATTTTTATCAATGTACACGGTTTTCCAAAAGACATATCGATTTGCTAGTTCTGACAAAAATCGTGTTATATTATATGTAATAGCGCATAATTTTGAGAGAGGCCATTTCGAAAATATCGTAACGTATCCTGCAATGAAATGCAATTCGAATTTGACGAGACCGATGAAATGATTTTACTGATCAATCGCCACACACGTCCGCGCGTGCGTTAGTATATATGTGTGTACATTTTCAATGGATCACATGCGATAGCTCTCTTTGAACTTGCAATCTCTTTCATTTAGGCTGTTTCGTTGGTCTTTTTTTTAGTCCTTTTAACGCTGATACTCCTTTGGTACGATTTTGCACGATCGAACATCAGTAATATTGAAATTTGTCGGAAATACGATCGAAGCGAGCAATGAAGCCACTTTTTGACCGAGTCTCATTGAATAAGCATAAAAGGAATGTGTTAAAAATCGAATATTTACTTGTTCGCACAAAACATTCGAATTAACTACTTAATAAACAATTATAAACGCCTCTTGAAATTCGGTTTGAGGCGATTCTTGGCATATTATCAATCACATTTATATTTACAAACATATAAATAATTTTTGTGCATCGTAATCTTTAAATGTTTACTCTCTTGATATACTTCATAACAACGCACAGAATTCTGTCTCACAGATCCCTTCCGAATAATCGATGCGATGACGATGGCGATGGTCCGAGAGAAAATCGTGAATCGGCAGGCATATATTGTAGAATGCCGCGACCGATTAGCTTTTATCCCGCGAAAACGCTTATCCGATAACTATTGTTTGCACGCTTCCATTTACGAGGTGAATTTTCCATGCCGCGGTCTGCGCCGTTTATCGGCCGTAACCGTCGCCGATGCCATCTAATAAATATCACTGGTCGAGCGATTTTATTTTAGTACCTCTAACGTTCTCTCTCCTTCATCGTGATCGGCGTTATCGACCATACCAGCATGTGACTGCGAGTTTAATTGGTCAACTTTCCAAAATCAGCGAAATTCAAATAGTGTAATCAACGATATTATATTAGTTATTTGTTGAAATGTTTAGAATTAAATAAAAAAATAGATATATTGGTTGACATACAAAGATGTCATCGATTAATATTATAATAGATACATCGTATTTTATTATCTTAACATTTTTTGGCTATTTAGAAATCAAAGAACTAATTTAGTTATTAATATTAATATTATTAAAATTTATATTCCAGAATCAGAAAAAAGATATAAAATTGCTATAACTGTCAACTCACAGAGTCTGCTCACAGAAAGCGAATGAAATAACACTCGGTATTCTTTAAAAAACGAATAGAAAAGTCTAAATTTTTTCTCTTTAAGTGTCACTTAATTAAAACTTATTTTTTGATATAAAAGAAACATATAAATTCTGCTTAAATGAGGTGCTAAAAATAAAATTAACAATTGATACGTTACTATTTAGTTGATATATTTTCAATCAAATGTGAATTATTTTAAACAAGAATTTAAATAGAAATAAACATTGAGCGATGAAATGTGAGTTTAACTTTAACACATTTAGTGTAACTAAAATTTTTTGAATACCATACATGTCAATATGATAAATATTTTTTACAGAAAAAAATATGGTGCGTGTATATAACCAGCGAATATTTGTTAGAAAGTCAAAGCCATTGGCATGTTTTCTGCAGTATAGAAAAGATGTGCAAGCTCGTCATAAGACAACAGAAGACACAGGGTACGGGTATAGAAGCAAGAAGAAAATTTTCAATTCCAAGAAGGAAGCTTTATTTTTCCTTCGTATGTAAACGAAATTCGCGTTTGAGAAAATTTTATGCGAATTGAAAAATTCAACTCTTTCCTCGCGAAGAATATCACCAGTTTAGAAATCGATGACGAGGAACGATTAGAAGAGGGGATATCATTCATATTGTATTACGTTGTATGAATTGTGTTTCTTGAAAAAGACCTATCTATAGACCTTTTAAAGTCAATTTTTTATTTGTGAAAGATGAACGTAAGGATGTTTGTTACGACGTGATATTATTTAATAATATATTGATACTAACTGTTCGCCTCAGCACGGTCCTGACGGTCTCCACGTCCTGTCGTGTAGGCCAACGAGCGTAGACAACGCCAGTGAGCAGGACCACGAACACTCCGATCCAGATAGTCCATGCCAGGACATTGCGCGTTCTGGCGAGCAATTTACGCGCAGTTCTCGTCGAGATCACCTCTTGTGTCGGTATCTCAAGCTTCTGCGCTCGCCTCAGTATATCCTGAAGTCGCTTCTTGGCCTGCTCCACGTCCGGCACTCCCATCGTCTTTAGCCTTATCTTTATCCACCCGTTTTCTCGTTCACACTACGTTGATTCCGAGTCCCGTAGGACCGCGTCTTCGCGCGTAGAGCAGCTGTCGACGGCTCACGATGGAGACATTAAGGGTTGACGGGATCGTAAGATTGTCTCATATAAAGCCTTCCTCGTTGTAATGGTACGTTCTCGATTTTCTGCAAAATTTATTTCATATTCTGATTTTTCATATTCCGAGGACTGCTATTACTTTTGAAATATTATAATAAATATGTGCAGCGAAGTGTATCTATGGCATAGCTTTACTCATCCGCGAAGTCTTTCTTAGCGTGGAACTTTCCTGATTTCCCTGACAATTTCGTGCATAACAGAATTATTTCTATCCTGTAATACAAATATTATTCGATATCTTTCTTTAATGTTTACTTAATTTAAAATTCATTAAAATTGAAAGAGAACAGTTCTAATAGTTCCTGCTTTCTATTTTCAATCTTCATAATCTTATTCAGTTCTCACTCAAAAATATACGTGAGCTATATAAATACATATAAATATATATAAATATAAATATACGTGAGCAATCTAATATTAAACGAATTGGCATTTAATTTCTACAAAGGAAGAGTTTGAAAATACTGATTGTTTGGCAGATCTTTTTGCTTCTAACCCATCCCCCGATTATGTCGTAATCGATTCTGGAATTATTCTCGCCGCACCATGGTAATTACCTAATAATTCTGCGATCGATTCCCCTTCCTCTCTCTATCTCGACAGAAATGATGCACGCGGAAACTCGTCCCTAATTTCCTCCTATGTGAAAGTTCGACCTAGTTTTGCTGCGAGCTCCAGGATTATAAGGCTCGTACACGTGTCAGGCACGCTAACGATTTGACGCGATGCATCACATTCAATAAGTTATCTTCAAGAAGTCCAATTTTTAATTATTTATATAACAAAAAGCGAAAGCGATTTAATTAACAGCATAACAATGTGAAATTAAACTCAAAGGATTTCGTAAAATATAATTTGTTACCACAGTTCTATTCAGTTTATTTTATTTTCAGATATTTTTGAATTAATTAACTTGAGTCTATTTTTTTAGTTGTAATTCAATTGAATCGGACAAATTATTTTTTCAAAATTATTTTTTCAAACTTTTTAATATATAATATTAATTTATTTCCATTATTTGTTTGAGTTAAAGCATCTTTCAAATTAAAACCAGTAATGAGAATTCAATAAGTTTTATATTTATTTGAATAGATTGTCTAAGATTAATTCTATAATATTGAACTGTTATTTTATATATTACTATTATTTAATATATTAAGCTCTCTATTATTTCCAAGGTATTTAAATTAAATCGAGAATTTTATTTCTTTATCCCATTATTTCTTCTTCTTTGAATTATATTCAGACTCTATTCTCTGAATGAATGAGATCGCATTTTCGGATATCTCGAGAGTTTCCAGAGAGAACTTCTTCGTTAGTTTCTTATAAATTTTCTAAACGGTACGTTGGCCTTGTCCGGATTACGTCGCGACGCAGTCAAAAAATCTTTTGTGAATCTTCCGGAGAAACTTTCGTGCCCCTTTGGCCGCGCCCTGAGGGCGGCATGGAAGCTGAAAGAGAGTGGTTTATCTTCTGAAAGAAGCTTCCGCGTGTATGAGGGGAAGAAAATACCCCTTCGATCAAACCATAGCGACGAGCCGCTAGAGAGCACTAGGCCAATGATTCTCCATCATCTTCCTCTTCGCCAAGACGTCGATCATTTATCACACGCGCGTTCAACATTAATCAAACGCTTTTGTACCGGTAGAGGAATCTCTAGAATTCATGATACTAATATAGGAATTCGACTAGATTCGAAATTAACCGCGAAACATTTGAAATTACAATCTTTTACAATTATTAATTTTTGTAAAATGAAGGCTTATTACTCTTGATAAATTCAATGTCGAAACACTTCCTTCAAAATAAAAAAAGTTGACAAAGAGTTAATATAAATATAATAGAGAGATTCAATTTTTCGAATAGACTTTAACAAAAATTTAACTTGAAATTTAATTACAAAATGTTTAATGTTTTAAATACTAATAGTTGTTAGAAATATTAAACTTTTTGTCAGTTTGTTTATTTAGAAAATATTAACTTTATTTTAAATTATCTGTTATTAATAATTAATCTGAATTAATAATTATAGAGAAGATCTTATATTGTATATATTCTGCAACTATTTCTACAATGCCTTAGAGAATGTTATTTCAAGAGAAGCTTCGACAGTATTCTATTCCATTCTAAATACAATTACAATATAGATATACAATTACAATATACTTGCAATACTAGCATCGGGTTTCGAGCTATCGAATTGATATTTTCGATACCCGATTCCCTCTTTGCAACACAATGAGTTTTTGCGTTTGTGGATAACAAACTACTTGTTAAAATTGTTTTGTCTTTCTTAAATTTCTGTTTCTTTAATTCTTTTCTTTCGACTTCTCGAATCCATTTTAGTTTTATCAAAACTTTTAAACCCCATTAGAAATTAATGTCTTTCTAATGAATTAAAAACAAATTAAAAATTGTAAAAACTGCGTGACAAATGATTTTTTAAATATTTTTCAAATTAATTTTATTTTTAAAAACTTTTAATTTTTAATAGAAAAATCTAAAAATAGAATAGAAGCTAATATAACATTCATTGAAAAAAATTCTCTGAGTTAGTTGGCCAAATTAACTATTACACGAGGAAAATTTTAACGTGTTCACATGAGGTTCTCGATGAGAGGATTAATGTGAAATATAAAAAATTTATATGTATACACTTGGCAATTTGTAATACCGCACAATAAGCAACGAATCCATTGTGCTCTCATGCGGAATAATTCATTTGACATTAGCTAAATACGATGAACTAGAATCTAAGAGACGCGTGTGGGATATCGCCAACTAACGTCTACGAGTCCGAGATTGTCTCGGTAAACACGCTCGCTAATTCATAATCTCTCCGGAGACCGTTCTAGAAACGGAGATGCGCCACACTCGATTACACCTGAGGAGAATCCCTTCGCAGGGAATCCTACTCCGGCGAAATTACAGAAGTCTTCTGCGACGAATACGGAAAACGTATTAATTAAACTCAGTTGCTTGGTATCAACAATTTTGCGAGCAAATGTTTAAATAAAGTGTTCGAGCATAGCAGACGCTGTATTATTTATATGTTAGAAAAGTTGAGAATTTAAAGCGAGTTTTTAAATGAGTTTGATTCCTTTTTGATGGGAATATACACAACAATTACTGATACAAATATTATAAAACAGCAAAAAATATGATTATATATAGCAATATAATCAAACGTTTGAATTAAATATAAACATTAATCGCTTTATATAAAACCAATCGCAATTACAGATATTAATTAATTTTGTAGATATATTTTTATCGTTTGCGTTTATGAGCGTTTGTCACGTTTTCTCTTTTTCACTGTTTTAATTACGATTCGAATAATGAGGTCACAAAGTATGGAAATAAGTTCCGCGTATTCTCGTCAGGATTTGTCGGAAATTATATTGTAATGATATCGCATTTCTAAAGTTCAGAGAGCAATCGTGTATGATTGCATCTGAAGTCGTCCGATATCAAACTTTCCATCTAATTGCAGTGCTCTTAGCTCAAAGACAAGTCATTCAGGCTAAAGATATTCCTTCTTACTGCATGATAAGCAAAGCTTGTTTTGAACATTTTGAGTTTAATTTATCTTAGCAAAAATACTATATTATTCAAGTTATTTTATTAAAAAATTATATATAAAAGTATTATATTTAAAAGTAGAAATTTTTTATTAAAATACATTTTTTATTAAAAATAAAATAAAGTTTTAGAATTAAAATAAATTTTACTCGCGTAATCTATTTATGATATATATCCGCATTAATAATCGAATCATGATCGGTTAATTAAATATGCTTGTAATTTTAATTAAAATTCTCACGATTACACTGTTAAATACACTAATATGATTAATGTTATAATATCGTTGCTGTCAAACATTGTAGGAATGTATTTCGAATAAATGAGAGGGTGTTATTAATTATTTTATTTTAATTATCACACTATAAAAATGTCTTATCGTTCTTATTAAAAAAAATTGTTTTTTTTTAACTTTCAAAAAATTTTTTTTAATGATCAAATTTAACACAAGTTTTTTTCGATAATTATTAATTCTTCATATTTATTTCGTATCGCTACGAATTCGACAACTGATCATTGCAGCATTGTTTTTTCAAACGTTAATTGTAATTAAGATATTTCATTAAAATAAATCGTTTCATTTTTCATTGATTCTTAGAACCAATGAAACTGTATAGAACTCTATACATTCTAATAAACTTACGAAAATAGTTTGTAATTAATGTATCGATTGGTCATTATTTTTAGTCTACTATTAGAAAGTAATATTGGAAAATAAAACGTAGCACTTCTTAGTTATATGACTGTTAAATTCATTTAGGTACTATGTGTATCATCAACAAATCGTCGAAACTTGCAATGATTTGTTGTAACAAATTCGATTATTTCATCATTCGATCATTATTTCCGATATACAAGAATTATATCTGTACACATCCTGTTGATTTTAACCAAATTTATCTATACGGCACTCACTCGTATCGCTATAGGATTTCGGTTGGTCAACACTGGCAGTATAAAACAATTAAATTTGTGCACATTCCGCCCACCGTCGAGTAACTCCGCTCGTTCGTCGAACTCGTACTTCTCATTCTATATTGCCCCATATTGCTGACAAACGAATTGGCAAGTGATTGCCGTAGAATTTTGGTGCCTCGACCAACGTATTGCCGGATAACATGTGACTATTAAATCGCTACACATTCCACTTGTGTTAGCCAACGTCATCGCCATCAATACGCTCGTGCAATATGCCGTTCACTGATATTGTCACATATTGCTGCAGTTATTTGATCAACGTTGATAGATACAATACA